GAGTGTATCCTTGGCAAGCTTCCATATAATATGAAGCTGGGAGGAGTGGTTGATACTCCAGAGGGTCCAGCCCCTGGGAATAAATAGCCCCAGGCACTAGGACAGGCTGGAGTGACCAGCTGGGCAGGAATGTCCCTGGTGATCCAGTGGGCACCACATTGCCCTTAAGCCAGTGATGAGCCCTTGTGGCAATGAAGGCTCCAGGGCATCTTCTCAATGCATAAAAGCACCCCATGGTGTTTGTCAGCTGTGAGGGTGGTCAGACAATGACTGAGTTGTGCAGGAAGGTTATGGAGTCTCTATCCATGGAGACATCAAAAGCCACCCCACAGGACACAGTCCAGGGCTCTGCCTGATCCTGCTTAAGCAGAGGGGGTTGAACAAAACAATCTCCAGAGGTCTGTTCCCACCTCAGCCATTTTGTCATTCTAACCTGTGTTGCTTTAAAAATCATATCTGAGGTAAACTGCAAGAAATTTTTTTTTTATCTGTCTGTAGCTAACCTGTTCCTGTTTAATCTTGTCTTGGCTCACATAAAAAGGCAAAGGAAATTTTCCATCTTTTTCCCAAACTACCATGCAGGGAAAAATGGTGGGAATAACACATTTAAAAATATAAAATACAGCTGCAAACTTAGAAAACAGGAAAAATGCCTCAAAAGAAAGCACATTTTCCCAAATTACCTTAATTTTGAAGGTGATACTTTGTGGGGAAAAATCCAAACAAAATCAACAGCAAAACAAATGTTTTTTTTTTTCATCTCAGGCTCTTAAGTAACAATTAGCAAAATTAAGTAACAAAAAGCAAACTGTTCCTGGGTGGTGGTGCCAACAGTTGTTATTGGGGTAGCATCCAGTGTGGGGTTTTAGTTAAAGGCTCTGCCTTTCCAGTTTTGATTATAATCACATTTGGCACATGTTGCCCTACTGAGCCTGCTCAGACACTTATTTTGAGGATCTCCAGGAACTGCCCTTTAAATTCCAACATACAAGAAGCTCAGGAGCCAGTAGGTGTTCCGAAATTGAAGTCATGGCAGGTGTGTATGGAAGCCATGTCTTGATGTGTAAATGTGGCCTCTGAGGGCAGGGTGTGAGTGCCTGAACAGCTCCTTGTTTCCCTGCCCTGGCACAGACATGGCTGATTTCCGAGAGGTGTTTGCCAAGGCCAAGCACATCGCCATCATCACCGGAGCCGGGGTCAGCGCCGAGAGCGGCGTGCCCACCTTCAGAGGGGCTGGAGGCTTCTGGAGAAAGTGGCAAGCCCAGGTAGGTGCTGATGGCCGTGCCTGCACAGCTGTGCCTCTGTGTCCGTCACACAGGTGAGCATGGAGCGTCAGGAACAGCTGGAGGAAAAGGTGGAAGGTCTCCCATGGCAGTGCAGCAGGGACAGAGCTCTTCCTGCAGCAGCTGTCTCTGCAGCTCTTCTCCGTGCCCTTGGGGATCTGCTCCTGTCCTTCGGTTTATCATTTGCTTGGGAAATACAACATTCTTGCAGGCAGCTCTGGGTCTTTCTGCCATCCTTGTTTTCCTGCAGTTCAGCTGTTTGCTCATCTTTTGACACCCTCACTGTTTTCCTACCATGTGGGGCCTTTCCTGTTTTAAACTCTTTAGCGTTTAAAACAAACCAAAATACCAAAGGAAGAACTGACAATAGAGACTGGTTGTTTTCTTTTAATCTTGGTGTCTCATAACACCCTTTGAAAATGCTTTAGGACTTGTTTTATTTTGGGGCAGGTTCTTTAATTCTCCCACAGGCTGTCTCTCCTGCTGGAATGATCTTGCCAGCACTGGGATTTTGCCAGGAATGGTCTTGCCTGCCAAAGGGGTGGGAGAGGAGGTGGGAGCAGACACTGGGAGTACAGCTGAAGGCACCAACAATGTGAGCTCTGTGGGGGCCTCACGAGTCTCATCCTGCTGGTGCTGCAGGTGTTTCAGCAGCTGTTCTACTGTCAGTACCTGCTACCCCAAATGCTGCAATCACACCTGCTTTCTTTGTGGCTTTTAATTACAGCACTCCTGAAAGATCTGATGAAGCTAAAAATGTGTCAGAGACATGAGTTTTTGAAACTGGTTTGAATCTAAAGATGAGGTTTTTTGCTTTCAGTGACCATCAATTCAGATAAAGCATGTGTGTGTATAAATGTTTGGTCCTGCTGCATCAGAAACTTGCATTCAGTTTCTCTGTCAGTGGAATTGTGCACTGAGGTGCTGGACTGAGCTGCACCTTGTTTTTGAGAAAGAGAAGCCAAAATTAAAGTTATTGTGAAAAGCAGCTTCAATTTTACCTGCACACAAAATACAAGACATTAGACTTTGGTTTTGATAATGGATGTAATTTGGCTTGTGTTACACTTAAAGCAGAAAAGAAATTCGTAGCAAAGGAAATACATTTACTTGATGCTGAGTTTTATGGATGCTGTGGAAAAGAGTTGTGGTTGCCAAAAAAAGGATGTGCACTGGAATATCTCATCTTGCTTTGTGCTAAGCTCCTAGTAGTTTGGTAGGGCAGCACAGAGGATGGTTGGAGTGTAGTGTAAGCCCACGTACCACACGATTGTTGTAAGTTATTTCCTCTTTTGATCTGACGCTTTGACTTGTCCCCCCTGTAAGGGCTGTGGAACAATATTCTTATCAACTGCATTTGGTTATAGATAATCTGCTTTTTGATGACCTTGTGATGCAGGCAGTATAAATGCAGAGGTGTAGAAATGCAGCAGTATAAGTGGCAGAGATGCAGCAAGCTTCATCTGGGGAAGGGATTCTTCTTTCATAGTAGAATGACCTGTTACATCTTTTGCAGGAGCTGGCTACTCCAGGGGCTTTTGCGCGAAACCCTTCCCGTGTGTGGGAATTCTACCACTACCGGCGGGAGGTGATGCTGAGCAAACATCCCAATCCAGCCCATGTTGCCATCGCAGAGTGCGAGAAGCGTCTCAGCAAGCAAGGAAGGAGTGTTGTGGTCATCACGCAGAACATTGATGAGCTGCACAGGAAGGCAGGCACCAAGCACCTCTTAGAAATCCACGGTAGGAGCTGGCTCACATGTCTGCCACAGGCCAGGAAACCTGGGGTGGGGAGTGGGAAGAAGGGAAAATGGGATAAGTACAGAGAGGAAAGATTTTTGTCTTTAAAATTACATAATTTGCATAAAGTTATTTACAACAACACCCTGTTCTCCTTTGGAAGTTGTTTCAGGTACTTTGTAGCCTCTCTTTATTCCTCACCTTTAGGATCACAGAATCTCATCTTTCTGTTTTTATTGGATTCTGACAGTACACGGGAAATGGTTTTCCCTTCTTGCTTGCACAGTTTTCCGCAAATCCACTTAAATTCATGTGGCTGTGACACCTGGCTGGTTTCACTTAGGAAAGGGGAAAAGAATCCTCAAGGATTCCACTGTGTGGTAGGGGTGGTGTCCGACTGCCACCAGTAAATGGTGTATTGGCAAGCCTGGCCTCACCAGCCCTCACCAGGTGTTTTCCCTCTGTCCTGTTCTCACTTGTGCACTTCTTGGCTACAGGAGGACAAAGGGACTGGAAACAATTGAGATTCCCTTACCTTTCTTTCCTGCAGCCAGTGGCCCTCCCCCTCTCTTCCCTGTAGTCAGTGGCATTCCTTACTCCCACAAGGTGCCAGAGGAGCACATGGCAAGTGCAGCACCCTGGGGGTCAGCGGGGGTTTGGGATCTGAGGAAGTGTACAGGTGTGGAGAGGAAGAGGGTGTGGAAGCCCTTCTCCATCCCTGGAGGTGACCCCACTCGTTTTTTCACTTCTCAGGCCCTGCCACAGGGTAGAAGTCTCCCAGGACAAAGACCCATCCTGGTCCTCCAGTCATGTGATGCTTTTTAACTCAAGCATCACTAAAGGTGTAAATGGGATTTCCCACCACCACTTTTGTGCTTTGGACACAGGAAACCTGCACAAGCTGTTTAGCAGCTGTGGACCCAATGAAGTCTTGACAAGAGTTTAATTTTGGTTATTTGTATTCCTTACGAAATGGACACAGTTTTTAGCTCTTGGCTATATTACACATCTCAACAGCATGTTAGTAATGCTACAGAAGTTTTGGGGGTGGAGTTTTGCATCAAACAAAATGGTGTTGACCAGCATATTTTATTTTTTTAAGAAAATGTTTCTGATGGAAGAGGAAAAGCAATAAACAGAAATCATCTCCCTCAGTGATATTTTAAATTATGATTTTCCTGCAAAATATGTTATGGGACTGTGTATTCCTCATGTCCTGAGGCAGAACAAGGTGGCACAGTGGGACTGTCTTTGCTGTTGCATTCCTGTTGTAAGTTACCTGCAAGGCACAGCCTTCAAGGTCTGTAAAGAGCAGCTGCCCAGGATAAACACAACCACTTGCCTGCACAGCCACACCTCAGAGCCACTGCTTCATCCCTGATGTTTCCTCTTTGTGTGTTCCAGGTAGTTTATTTAAAACTCGGTGCACCAGCTGTGGAAATGTAGCTGAGAATTACAAGAGCCCGATCTGCCCTGCACTGGCTGGGAAGGGGTAATCCTTTTTTTCTTTCACCACCAAAAAAGGAAGTGAGCAGGGGGATGGGCCAGGCATATACTCAAAGATTTTTTAGGACTTTTTTCCCTTTACATTTCACCAGACCTTTAGATAATTACATAAATAGTTGTTGTGCCTTTGACAGTTTTGGCCAGCTTATTAAAGTTGCTCAGCTTCAGGATACTTCTGGACAAATTCCTGCCTGCTTCACGTATGGTATTTTAGGATTGTAGTAGGCGTTCAAGTTGGCTGAAGTTGCAGATTCTTTGATTGGAGGGTGTGCTTTAGAGAATATGAAGGTTTTTAGAGAATGTTAAGTTTTTATTAATCTATAAAATACCTTTTGTACTGAACATGTGTTTCCATTTTGTGACTACAGGGCTCCAGATCCTGACACAGAAGATGCTGCCATTCCAGTTGAAGACCTTCCTCAGTACGTATGGACCACTTTGTTGGGCTGTTACCTCTTCATGCTTTGTGCATCTCAAAGCTTCATGTTACTGTTCATGTTGTTTTGGAAGGACATTCCACAGGAGACAAAGAACTCTGTGCAGGGGGACAGAATGTAAGAAAATAAAGATTGTGTAGAAAGTAATCTTACCCCTAAGGAGTTGCAGCTGGGCCAATTATCAAAGATTAGGAACAGGCCTGACTTTAACAGGCCACAGCTGTAACCAGTGAGAAGAAGAGTGCTGTAAAAGAGTGGGGTGGTTGAAAACTGGAGTCAGTTGGCTGCTTTGTGAAGAACAAAGAGTCAGTACTCTGAGGAGCTACTCATGAGAAACACCAAGAAGGTATGAAACTTTTGCGATAGGAGACAACAGTATGGAACCCCTGCAATAGGATGAGAACAACTCTGGAACTCTGCCCCAGGAAACTGAGTCTAAAGTTACAGGGGCATCAGACAAAGGAGCATGTAGAAGTTATCATGGTCATAAAGGCATCACATGTTTGTGTACCTGAGCACCAAGATGAAATGTGGCCAAATTCCTGGGGCTTGTAGTAAGTGAAGTAGTAGGACAATTGCAGCAAGAAAGTGAGTGCTACAGCAGTAAATGTTTTGTTACTTTGCAGGTGTTACCCTCTGTTTTTCTGGAATACCATGGTGGGGTCCCCTCACAGGCACAGAATGTGCCACAATGCTTTTTTATGTTGCCTGAAGCTTTGCCTTAGCTAGTTGCAGATGGAAAAAGCCACCATATTTTTCATCTGATTCCTAAGGAAAAAGAGGCTAACAAGATGCTTCTGTCTTTTGGGTCATTTTCTCCTTAGAACCCTGTCAGCTAGTTTGTTAAAGCTGATGGAGGCTGAGTTTTAACTTTCATGCATTTCCAGAGCTGAGTAAGGGGAAGACACAATTAAGTATCTGTACTGAACAACTTTTCAGCACCCCCTTCCTTGTGATCATGCAGTACCATGTGTATTTCCAGTATGTGTGTAGCATGGAATGATCTGCCTTCTGTCCAGCACGTGGTAGAGGAGGGTGTGGGGAGGGCTGTGAAGGAGGAGAGAGGATGATGGCAGCTAAGACTGCCCAGAGGAGAATGCGAGCTGCTGACGTGTCCCTGTGTGGTGTGTGAGCAGGTGCGAGGAGGACGGCTGCAAGGGGCTCCTGCGGCCCCACGTGGTGTGGTTTGGGGAAGCCCTGGATCCCGGCGTGCTCACGGCGGTGGAGAAGGAGCTGGATATTTGTGACCTCTGCTTGGTTGTGAGTGGCGCTTTCCTTACCTGTCCTCTGAACCGCCAGGGAGGCCACACTAGGGACGTGGCAACTCCTGGGCAAAGCAGATGCATCTGAGCTTCCCTGAGGGAACTGAAAGCCCCAGAGGGCTTCTCTAGTGTCAGTGCAAAACATTAAAAGACCTTTCTGTTTGAAAACGTACACAGACTACTCAGAAGTCAAGTACACAGGGGTTAGAGATTAGACAATGTTTGGCTGCTGAATTTTACTTCCCCTCTACTCTGCTCTAGTGAGACCCCACTTCTGGTGCCCCCAGCAGAAGGACATGGAACTGTTAGAGCAAGTCCAGAGGAGAGCCACAAAGTTGATAAGGGCACTGGAGCACCTTCCCTGTGGAGAGGCTTGAGAGAGTGGGGCTGCTCAGCCCGGAGAAGGGAAGGCTTTTGGGAGACCTTGGAGTGGCCTTCCAGTACTGAAAGAGGCTTGCAAGGAGGCTTCATCAGGAACAAGGGATGATGGCTTTTAACTGAAAGAGAGTGGCTTTAGATTACATATGGGGAGACATTCTTTACTGTGAGGGCGGTGAGGCACTGGCACAGGTTGCCCAGAGAAGCTGTGGGTGCCCCATCCCTGGAAGTGTTCAAGGCCAGGTTGGATGGGGCTCTCAGCAACCTGAGCTAGTAGAAGGTGTCCCTGCCCATGGCAGAGGGGTTGGAACTAGATGATCTTTAAGGTCTCTTCCAATCCAAACTGTTCTGCCATTCTAATTTCTCAAACAGTAAAAAATACAATTATTTTGATGCTCAATTTGAAAAGGAACTAAGTTATAATGTGCTGCTTTTTTGCAAGGTGGTTTACAGGCCGTGTACATTCCAGATCCCTAACCAAAACACTTGCTTAGACTGTCTTCCGTTTGCAGAATGACCTAAAGTAACAGAAGGAAAGTTTCATTGGGTTGTTATTTTTCCTTGAAGACAAAGTGTGTCATTTTGTTTCTGGGATTTTTTTCCATCTACAGTCACAAATGGGTTTCTTTAGGCTGCATCAGAGAAACAATTCCTGATTGCTGTGCTAAGTTAAATACATGTGCAGTGACACTGATCAGATACTGATTCGGTTTAATTTCTGAAGGCATCTAGTAGGCTTCAGTGCATGTACAGTTGTGAGAAGGGCCGTCACCTCGGGGCTGGGTTGGTTTGGTCTGCTTGAGTGCTGTCCTGCCACTCTTGTGCCTCCTGTCCCACTGCCCGCAGGTCGGGACCTCGTCCGTGGTGTATCCTGCGGCCATGTTCGCCCCGCAGGTCTCGGCCAGAGGAGTCCCGGTTGCCGAGTTCAATATGGAAACCACTCCAGCCACCGACAAGTTCAGGTAACGCAGCTCAGGGAACGCCTTCAGTCCCCTCCTTCCTGCCCCTGGTCCAGCTGCCAAAACGCTGGGTTAGACAAATACGGTCTAGTTTGCCCCCCGCCTTATGAAATATTGAGTTTCTGTTAAAAAGTAAGAAAAGAGGATTCTTCTTCCATGGTGGAATTTTCATCTAAGACACAAACCGTGTTATTTAAAGGGTGAGGCTGAAGTCTGTCCCTACGCCCCACAAGGCCTAAACTCCTCTCTCCTCCTCGTCTTTCCTCCGTCCCTGCCGTGCCCCCGCCAGGTCAAGCAGCGGGATGCGCCGGTGTCTGCCCGCGCCCTAAACCTGCCGCTTCCTTCCAGGTTCCACTTCCCGGGCCCCTGCGGGACCACGCTGCCGCCGGCGCTGGCGCGACACGAGACGGAGATCATCTCCTGAGCCCTGGGATCATCTCCTGAGCCCTGGGATCACCCCCGGAGTGCCGGGGCGGGCGGGCCGGAGGCGGCGGCGGGACTCGTCCCACGGCAATAAAGGCGGGGCAGGGTCCTGTACTGTCCTCCCGTGTCCTGTATTGTGTGTGCGCGCATCCCGCGGGCGGGGCGGGGCTGGGTGGGTGTCCCGGCGCTCGGCATTCCCCGGCGGAAGGCGGGAGCGCTTCCGGGGCGGGCGGCGCAGGGGCCGCGGCCATGGCGCGCCGGCAGAAGGCGAAGGCGGCGGCCGCGGGCAAGCGCGGGGCTCCCGCCGCGCTGCCCAGCCCGGCCTCCTCCTCGGAGGACGAGGCTCCGGAGGAGGTGCCCTTCGGCGTGGCGAGGGAGGCGGCCGAGGCCGAGCGGAAGCTCGTGGGAGAGGCGGCGCGGAGGTGCGGACACGCCGGGGCCTCCTGCTCCGGAACGGCGGCTCCCACACCAGCGCTTCCCTCCTCTTACCCCCTCCGCCTGGCCCCGCTCATCTCCCCTTTCACCCCTCTTACCGCCGCCTTAACCCCTCGCTTACCTCTCTAATCCCCACCTCCACCCCTCTTACCCTCTTAGACCCCTTTTTACCGCCGTACACGCCTCTTTCCCTCTCTTATCCTCCCCTTATTCCCTCCCTTATCTCTGCTTATGTACCCTTGTAGTGTCCTTAACCTCCCTTCTTTACCCCACCACCCCTCTTAGGCCTCCCTGGCCTCTTCTCCTTCCTTATCCCGCCCGTAACCCTTTCCCCCCCTTCACCCCTCTAAGCCCCTTTCACTTTTTCACTTTTCCTATCCCTTATCCCCCCACTTGCCCGTCGTCACCACCTCCTTTGCCCTTCCAAGCCCCTCCAAGCCCTCGTTCACCCCCTTTGCCCCGCCCGTAATCCCCCCTCTCCCACCATGAAATGCTGACGGTGGCTCCCGCCTTCCCGCAGGCACCGGGAGCTGCAGAAGGAGAAGCGGCGGCGGCACCAGGAGCTGTTCGCGGAGCAGAAGGTACCGCGCTATGCCCCGGCTGTCTGTCTCTGTGTGTGTGTCTGTCTCTGTGTGTGTGTGCGTGCCGGCCGTGTCCGTGCCCGCCTGACTCCCCGCTCTCTCTCTCCCCCGCAGAAGCGCAGGCTGCTGCCCGAGGCCGTGCTGCAGGAGCTGCAGGAGCTGCAGGATGTGTCCACACGGTGAGGGGATGAGGGGAGGCAGCGGTGGCTGTTGGGATCCCCCTCTCCGGATCTCCCACCCCTGGGGCAGCCCTTCTGGGAGACCGTACTGGAAATGGGGGTTTCACGGCTTTAGTAAAGGAAGGGAGTGTGAATTGAAGAGTAACCTGTTGCCTTCCCTTTGCTCCCCAGGCCGGCTGAGCAGGCTGTGGCAGATGACCCAGGTATGTTACAGCTCGCTTCGCTAACTCCTGGTACGTCAGGAGTTCATTCCCGTGCCAGAGCTCCAAGGGGGAGCTCTGGTGAAGACACCTTCTCCAAGTCTTAATCATGAGCACACTGCACAGATTCTTTTCCCCAGGAAAAGAAATGTCTGAGGAAAAATACAAAGTTAGATTCAATCTAATTCTTACACCTTTTACAGAAATCACTTGCTGTGCAGTGGTTTCAGTTAAATAGCCTGAAGTGTTTAAGGAAATCATGGGCAGGTGTTACAGCAGAAAAAGCAAGGTTTACTAAAGGTGGATTAATATTTAATCTTCATTTAAGTTATAGAGGCTGTTCCTGGGTAGAGTTGTTAAATTGCCTCTATACTTTATATATCAAACTACAGTTCAATAGCATCTGTAGGATATTAAGTAACTCTTTTCAAACTCAGAATTACAAAATCAAGAGTCTAGAGTGTTTACAACTGCTGTTTTTGCTTCATCTGTGCTTTGAAGTACTTAGAAAAAATCTTTTATTTAAACAGTTCTCTCATCCAGCCCTCACATGCTGCTGTATGGTGTAACTGCTACTTTTTCTTGATTTTATTTAAAAAAGATCTGTTGTATTGACATAACAAAGAAATGAGCTGGGAATGAAGCAAGACTGAAGCCAGAGTTGGATTTCCCTTTATGGGTTACCCACAGCTGTTGTGTTGCATTGAATTTTTGTCCAGTGACGAATCCCATTTTGTTGATGCTGAGGGAAGCTGGCTAGCAGTACTTTGGGTTGCTCCCCTCAGCATATTTTTCCCTCCCTCTTACAGCTGTTCATCCTAGTCAGTGCTTCTGAAAAATGCTGCTTGTTTTAAGTCCTGTTTCCGTTTCACTGACTGGTTTTGATTTGTAACCTTTGGGAAATTTCGTTTACAAGTTACTCTAGATGAAGAACTTGAAGCTGAGGCTGTAGAGCTGGAGCAAGGTCAAGCTGAAGTGCAGGAGAAGAAAGGCAAGAGGAGGAAGGGTGCCAGGTAGGAGGAGGAGATGATTTTGCCTGGTGTAGGAAGGTCTGTTCTGCATGGCTGTACCCTCTTCTGCACTTCATGTTCCCCCATCCTTTGTCTGACTGAAAGCATATTTATGTGCTAGAAGTGCCTGTAATATCTTCTGGTTTAGCATACTTATATATGTGTGCATACATATATATATATAAGATAGAAATAATTTTTGCATATTACATATATGTAACTGCTATGAGATGGCTGGGCAGTCATAAGCACAGCAGTACACATTGTGTTGGGAGCTGGTTGAGCACCACATTCCTGCATTTCAATCTGTTTTTCTCTCTGCTCTTTATTTCATTGTCACTGATGGCACTAGAGAGGAATTGCCCTAGCTTCTGGTAGGAGGAGCTCAGGACGCCCAAGGAAACTACTCAGGGCACACAAAGGCATAGGACAACAGCTTGAGAGTATTGGTCCAGCTTTTTATTTTTTAATACTGCCACAAAGCTCATCTGAGTATCACAAACCATCACTGGCTGCTGCTGTGCTTGAGTAGCAAAGCTTGACAGCAGTGTGTGTTGTTCTGGATCCTGTAACCACGCTTCAGAGGTTTACATCTCTCTTTGACTAGGACAAAAAGGAACTATGTGGCTGTGTGCTTGAAGGACCACAGTGCCACAGGCCTCCACCAGCAGCTGGCCAAAGACTTCCTAAATGCTCAGCTCTACGGGCCACACACCAACCGGGTACCAGGTAAGCACTGCTGCTCTTGGGTGGAGCCTTGTCTGTCTTGAACTTGGCTATTAACACTTGTCTCCATTGCAGCAAATGAATTTTTCTCCCTTGCAAACAAGAGAGCCCCTGTCAAAAAAGCTGCTGTTCAGTTTGTGGACAAGTCTTGGGGTGAGTATAGAAAGTCAGAGTAGGTACTGTTTTCTGCATATGTGGCTAAAAGTAGACATGAATAAAAGCAGGGTTTCCGTGCTAGAGGATCCTGGCTTCTGATCCTCTAGCTCCAAGCACCTGGAGAGTAAGGGAAGGGCAGCAGAGCACTGCAGTCTCAGCAGGTGTCACAGGCACACCCCCCAGGGGTGGTGTATGAGACACAATTTGAAAAAAAATTACCTCATTTTTGGTATGCTAAGAAACAGCTCTTGTATTAGAGCCAGGGCTGCTCAGTGAAATAAATACTTAAAGAGCTGTTGTTTCAGCCTCCACTCTCTGAGCTGTTGGAAGGCATTTTAGATGTATCTCAGACTTAAAAGATACCAAGATCCCAGAACCTCGATGTGAGCAGAGGGGAATAGCACCCATTTCTCCTCATTTCCATAATGGACAGGGACAGCTTCACACCCACACATTCTGTGAGGGTCACGAACACAAGAGGGAAAAGTATCTGGTCCTTAGCTAGCAGGGCCTGCTTTCCATCTGTGCTCCATCACTGCAAGCTCCACTGTATTCCCCCCACCCTCCTAAGGAGGCTGGTGCAAACTGCTGCTCCTGGCCAGTGAAATGCACCTGGAGCACATAAAATACTGTAGGAAGTTTATCAGTGTTTGAGGTTGTTCTGCTCTGAAATGCTGCAGCTGCCAAGGGATTGCTGCTTCTCCAGCACATGGGCGCTAAGAAAAATGGTAACTAACAGCTTTTTTTTTTTTTTTTTTTAAGGGCAAGATAAAAAGGAAAAAGCAGCAAGGTTTAAGCAACGCTGGCTGGCAGCACATATCAGAAGTGGAGTCTGAAGACAGCTTTTTGAGAAGATGCTGCTAAGGACTTTTAGTGACAGTTGATCTCAACACAACACAGGTGTTTTTCCCACTTCATCATCACTTTGCTTTCAGCTCCAGCCAGCAGAAGGCACTGAGCTGAGCCTGATGGAACTTCCCTGTACTCTCCTCTCCCCCTTCAGAATTTCCTGGGGAAGTTACAGAGCAGCCAGGCCAGTGTTGTAGAACAGCTGGTGCTAGGACCAGGCTTGCTGAGCTGCCTCCGTGAGGCAATGCCTTTGCAGAGAATAAACATCAGCAATGTTGTACCTGTTGTTGTGGATGCCGCATTTCTTACAGCAGGCAGTCACTCCTGCTGCCTCAGTGACGTGTGTCTCTAAGGTAAGGCTGTACCCTAACAGCAGAATCACTACATCAGCTCCCACAGCAGGACGCTTCTCTCCAGCCTCAGGATTACTTTCCAGCAGTAAGGGATTTTCCCCATCTGCAGGGAGGCCTGAGTAAGCTTCCTGCACTGTTAGCTAGATCACTGTGTGGCAAGAACACAGCAAAACCTTTCACCTGGACCAGCCCAGCTCCTCGGGGAGGTGGCAGCTCCCCTCAGAGGTCTCCACAAGAACTGCTGTTCTAGGGTGGAGCTCTAGAACAAGACAATGTAGCATACACGTCCATGCTACCGAGGATGTAGACGTAAGTTTTTAATGGCTGGTTAATTATGATATCACTACATTTTATTGCGATATAGTACTATTTAAGCACTTTTAAAAATGCAAGGTGTACAAAGATTAAATTAAGACTGTAAATTGACTAAATATTTGGTTTTTATATAAATAGGTCATAACCACACTGTGTTGACATGTAATACTGTTATAATACAACAGTTAAACTGGTGAGCCTACACAACAGAAGCTGTCTGTAGTTAAACAAGGAAACAAAGTTGAAAAGACCATGTTAAAACAAAAAACTACTAAGATCAACAGGTTGGGATTGTAAGTAGCAACAAACATATTCACTCAGCTCCTGAGTAATTCAAGTTTTACAGTACACATTAAAAAATATCATTTCTTCCCATCAACACTATATATCCAAACCATTTGCATTTTGCAAATTACACTGATTGAACTATGTAACAATGGGGGTGGAGGTTGGCAAGTCATCCTGCTTGACGTTTACATCACCCACATGCTAATACATCCATGTTTTCTATTCTTCCGTCCCACCACAAGGTAGCAGGATTTTTGGTTTGTTTTGGACAATCGTTCAAAGGATTGGTACTTGTCAATTTGGATGTCTGACGTTACCAGTGATATTTTCAACTCTTAGTTGTCTAAGAGGTTTAAAGATGGAAATCTCCTAACACTAAGTTAGAAATCATTTGCATCATGCTGTAAACTAGGAAGCAACATAAAGCGACAGACTTGTCCTTAGTACATAATTAAAATTCCAAATTCCAGTCAGCAGAGCTGGTCTACTTTCCATGTTGAATATGCCACAACGCCTTTCAGACCTTCAGAATGCATAGCTAGTGTAGGTAGTCTTCTACTGTGGCAAAGGCGCAGGATCCGATTCCTGACCGGGCCATCAATCCTAGACACTGTGACGCCTGTCCCATGGCCAGGGCAAGCGGGGGTTGCTTTGGCAGATTGTGAGTCTCTGAAAAAGAATCACAGTGCAGTTAAAATACCTGAATCATTTCATAATAACACACTGAAAACTTGACATCTAAACTACTTAAATCATTCATCTGCAAGTTTACTCTTAGAGCAAGCCCCGAAGTAGGAGCAACAACATGACCTTGCACAGCACCGTTACTGAACAGGCCAATTTTGCTCTGAACTACAACAGCAGGCAAGTACCTGTTATTTTACATACCCTCCAAAACGATCCCTCTTCCCAGAAGAGTGCACCCAACACTGCTGTCCTTATGGCCATACTTACCTAGTATTGCACTATTGAGCACAGAGCACACTGGTTCTCTCTGTATGGGGTCAAGCTGATTTCCAACAGGGCTGCTCCAGGGATCAGAATATGCAAGCAAACTGAATGCATCCTGTGGGAAAATGACTTTGATTACATCTACAGCTACAAGCTACTAGTGAAAAGAAGGGATATTTTGTTCAACTGTTTTGATTCAGAATCACAAAGGTGACTGTCAGTATCCATCAATACAAAAAGATGTGTTTGAGTTGGGTTTATATAAAAACCAAAAGAAATTGTGACAGAACTTGCTCCATTTAGGGTTTTTTCCCAAGAGCAAGGCAAAAGGTAGCATTATTTTACTAACTGATGGGCTAAGATAAAACAGACTGAAAATTGCATGCAGTCTTTGGCAGGAGAATTCTTTTCCAGAGCAGTCTCAAATCAAGGCAAACTAATTAACATGCAGATTTTGGGCATCTCTACCAGTTGTCCTGTGGTTCATTTATCATTGACAAAAGATCAAAAAGACAAAACCAGAACTTCGATTCCTGAGGGCAAGTTACATGGTCACAAATGAGAAAGGAAAGCACTAAATCGATTTCTGTTTAACTGTGTAACAGCCCAAAATTATCTTCCCTGAGCATGTGTTGCACAGACAAAAAAGAGCTACACCACAGCTGACCAGAACATCTGCTCTGACACACGTGAAAAATGGCAGAATTTAAGGCAGAACAGTATTCCAGCACAACATGCTGTGGGAAGCTCCTGCTGGGCAGCACAATTATGCACCTTTACAAGAAGATTAAACATACCTTGAGCATTTTCTTATTCACTGTGTTTTTGCCACATTCTCTTCTTAGCTGCTCGCTCATTGCTTGCAATTCTCTTCCAAAATGGATCATCCTTTCAATGGCTGCTTGGCTGCCACCACAGAGCTGGCGTCGTAGTTGACTTGAATCTACTTCTAAAGAAACGATATCGTCATCATCACCACGGGCAGGGCCGAGGGTAACAAGCCATGGATCTACAGCCTGACTTCAGCCAAACACAGCTGCCTGCCCAGAGAGAGCAGGTCAGCCTCAGCGCCCACGCGCTCCTGCACCACACACCGGGAAACTGCCCCTCCGGAACATTTAAGAGATCGGATTCACTAATGGCAAAGCCCGTCACAGCACGTGCTCTTTTCTGCAGGGGGTAATTTTAAATAACTAGACGGTAAACCAGATTTTACCCTAAAATTTTAAGGGAGTTTAAAAACAACAAAAGTCCCACAGTTCTAACTTTTTTAATTCTTTGGCATTGCATTTCTGAAGATACACCAAATTGGGAACTACTAGTGTGTAAAAAAATGCCGAACTTCCTCAACAGCCACGATGGACTCTGCTACAAGACAATCATTTAGACTGTTCTTACTCCTTGCAGAACACATCTTAAATCATTTGACTATTTCAGGCTTCTTTTGTAATCAAGCAGGACACTACAACTGATTTGTTTACTGTTTCATACAATACTCCCAATACTAGTGATTTTAAAAGATATTGATGCAGCTTACGAATAGTAAACTAACACTTGGCTTCTTTTGAAAAATCTGCTTTTTAAAAATTTACACCTAAAGCACTGCATTAAAAAAAAGGCATTTATCCATTCCTTGTCTTTTTTTCATCAATGGAATCAAGTTTTAAAATGAGCATTTTGACAGACTCTTCACTTACAAATCCACTCTTCTTTCTGACTTTAACACTGCTATTTAGTGATATATTTTTGACTACTCTTTCAAAACAGGATTTTTACCTGGCTACTTTTTTTTTCCCCTTAGATGTAAGTGTATCACCTCTGGAAGATACCCGCCTACTTAACCTTCAATACATAGCACTAAGGAGAATATATAAATATTTCAAAAAGTGAAAAACTGCCAGACTCAGCCTGGGGGTAGGGTTGGGGGGTAACCAGTGTAGGTGAAGCACCCACAAATCTTCAAGAAGTGGTGTTTGTCCCTAGCTCAGCCTTATCTAAGATGTGACTTTCCAAAGGCAGGAAACAAGCACAACTCCCTTCTCTGTGCAGCTGCTGCCTGTCTGTCACTGCAAGTCTCTGCAGAAAAGGCTGCAAGAGAGCAAGGACTTGTTTTGGGTTTTCTGTCACAGAAATAAAGTCTTGTTATTATCCAGTTTCAGAGCATAATGCAGGGAGAATGGTCTGGCAGCTTGCATTCCTCCTTGCAGGGCTGCAGGAGAATGCCATTTGCCGTGCCCCTGCATTTCCCAGCAAAGCTGCAGGATCAGCAGCAGCCCCAGAACTGGGAAGCGCTCACAGCGCTCTCCACGCGCTGCTGCGTTCTGAAGGTCTCCAGCTGCACATTTCATTTAAACTACACATTAACTGGCATCTGCTTAAATCAATTGTTTGAGTACCAATTCTGCAGCTGCACAAAGGGCAAGCAGAGGGGATTTAAATACTCATTTGTCACCAACATCAATAGCCATGGCAGAGTATAAAGCAAATTAACTAAAACAAAGTTAATTTTTACCTTATAACTATATAGATTGGTTTTTTTTTTGGTGGAAAACATGGGAAAAAAAGTTAATTTTTCATTTTTACATTTCCCTAATAAAACTCTTGAGCATTAAATATTAGCACTTCGCATTTCGATATAAAAGATTTAGAATTTCTGTGCTTACTGTGGAGCACAAAGATGCCATGAGAACCATGAATGGGAAGAGGAAGAAGCAATTTCCCAACTCAAACACAGGGTGCTACACAATCGGGTGTTTCTCCTCAGAGGTACTTCCTTTAAAATTAATGCTAATTTCAGTAGCCATGAGTTACCCATTTCCCCTGTTCTCACACTGATATTGCACCACCTAAATCAGTGGTTTTAGAATATACATCTAATAACAGCAAAACAATCAAAAATTAAAGATTTGAACTAGTAACCCTAATTTTCAAGTTGGGAAGCATTGCAAGTAAAAACATAACCTTGTTGCCATCACTTAATAAAAATGTAAGAAATATCACTGCAGACCCATTTCTGTGTCACATTCTTCCATTTCGTGATCATGTTTAGAACTACCATTTAGGAAGCCATTGGATGAAGTCTCAGCAACTCCATTGGAGTAGTGATCTGTTTCCATGTCTACATCATTGCTGAAAAGAGAGTAGTAAATACAAGTTTTACTCATATATAAGTACTTAGGTTATCTTTACAACTTCATCACACTATTTCCTCATCTTAGCTACTGAAAAGCTGCTCTTAAATATTACCAAGGTAGACCACAGTTTCTTCAACAGCAACTGCTGATACCAGAGCACCATGGAAGTTTCAAGGTTGCCTTAACAATAGTTTTCAGTAAAATACTGTTTTCAGATGCTGAAAATTTAAACATGTCCCCCACATTATTCAGGAGTAAGGAATGTAGCACTTACTAAATACAGACCAAAAAGTTCTTACATTGTTTATATAATTGTATATACCCAGAGTTGAAGAAAATGCATTGAGAAAATATACTACTCCCACTTTCCAATATAGTTAGCATTTATACATAAAAACATAGTTAAATCAATATACATCCTACTTGGAAAATACCGTATTTAGATAACTAATTATTTGGAAAAAATGCTTTCTCCTCTTATTTACTCTGTGGAACAACAGAGGGAAAACAAAAAAAGAAAACCCCAAAGTAAATGCTGAGTAAAGCAGAACACTGAAGAGACACTCAGTGGCAAATGCAGAGCATTCAGCTCCTCACAACCCTCTGCTCACAGAAGTGCTTTTAGAAAATGCCAGCGTGGCTTTGGGGACTGAGCTTTGCTGACAGTTGCATCCTGGCCTGTTCTATTCCATCATGGAGAATAGCAGCCTAAAGCCTCTGTCAAGACCAAACAGATTCAATGTGGAAGTTTAATATCTTGCTTCTAAGCAACCAAAGATACTCAGCTTCCTTTGAGGAAGGAAACCAAAAGGCCTCTCTGACTGGGCAAGAACACAGCCAAGGAACTGTCTTCCCCCCTGAAAAATCTCCAAGTTGCCTGGACACTGCCAGACGTTTTGGCAGAGGCAACTGCTGATGCAAACAAAAAATGTGGAAAGTTAAAAAGTAAATTGTTACTCTTACTTTTTTACCCCAATTATCACTATTCAACTAAAATACCTTTGGTCATCACCACCACATCATCACATCCTGTGTGGTAGTTTTGGGAATCCATTTGGCACAATGCAGCTGAGTGCTGTTGCATTTCACATCAAATTGGGTTCTGCTGCATCCATGCAACCCAGAGCTTAACCATACTGGTTATAAAGAACCCTACTAACTCTGGTTAAGAGATTTATTTTCATTCTCTGAACTGAATGCATATGCACTCGTGACAGTGACTGGAGTAGGCAAACAGTCTTGGAGTACATAGGGAAAGGGAATCCACACTTCATTTGCATCTCAACTGCGTTTACTTTCCAGATACTGCCACAAATGGAGAGTATCTGGAAAGCTTTTCATTACCTGTGTGCAACACACTTAAATCGGTGTCAGTGGCTTCACTTAAATTGAATTTTTAGAAGTTTTAAAGAGGTAATTAACCTTCACTATGGAACTTCAAAACTGACCATAGCTATAAGCAAGATAATTTATTTTTGTCCACTTCATTTCTTCACACCAATAGGAGAAAAAGGTCTATTGAGCTTGAACTGTCAAAACAACCAGAGTTACCACAAGCTGTTGGCTCCTTACACTTTGTTTCAACTGTCCTTAGGGAGGAAAAAAAACATCACATCAAAACCCACTGAAAACTCTTCCCTGCCATGCAAACACGTGGAGAACAGAAGCCTTAAAGCAACTTAGAAACATCTAAAGTTTATTTACCTGGGATAGCTGTTAACCTGCTGTGATCTGGATACATTTATGTTGTTCAGCTCTGGTACATTCAAGCTGGTGGTCGTGTGTTTAGTGTGACAGTAAGACTGATGCACTTTATTTGATATTACTCCATTACTGCAACTACTTTCAAATCCTGCAAGGATATTTTAACAGTTGTAGTCATAAAGTGGTACTTACAGATACGTTTGTAAAAAAAAAAAAGAAGTAAGTGTAGCATTTACTGACCAGGAACAAGTATGCTAAATTTGCCACACAAACTCAAGTACTTCACCTCCATGTTTCAGGTATTTGAACCCTTAAGGCTTCTAGAGTGCAGAAGTTAAGCATTATTTAACAAGTATGAACACAGACACAAGAAGGTTTTTCCAGTTGTACTAATATTCTGGTAAAACCAAAAAATTGCACTAATGTAGAAGATTTTTAGAAAATCTTTTCTAGGCCACTGTAATCATTATGAATGGAAGCAAACATTATTAATTCCTGATCACATAATTCTTTTGATAAATGTGCAATAGAATTCAGTGCTGAATACTCTGCATGTTGCTATACTTACATACAACCTCCTTCACCATGTAATTATTTTAATTGTTAATATTGTGCTTTGCTAAAAAAATTACACCATGCTGTGAAATTATGATGCCTAGCTAAAATCTCTTCTGACCCTTCTAAAATATAACAGGAAAACTACAATTTGAAGCAAACATGTAATTGCCAGTTCCATCAAACCAAGAGCTCCCAAGTATGTTCTAAAATAGGAACAGGTCACAGGAAGGGCTTATAATAAAGAAAGCAGCTGCTGCCATTTACAAAATACCAAACATCAATTCTAGTAATACATTCATCAACCTGCCTCGATTCTCAAAATTACAAAAATTACAGGTACTTTCTACACTACATCCTAACAACCACCTGAAGAACAACCAGAAAATCTGAGTGGTTCTTCACTGACACCCCAGAGAGGGGGAAAAAAAAAGTGCCCCCAGTCAGCTCCAGTTTGGATTTGGAAATTAAGCATAAGTGAAAGCTGATGGTCTCTGCTACCCTAAGAGTCTTAGTCTTCAAGGATGCCATGTTCAGGTATCATTTTAACATGCTCTGCTTCCATTCAGCAGGGGTGCTTTGGAAGGCATGGGGATCTCCCCATAAGCTTGGGACAGCTCTGAACATTAGTGGCCTCCCACTGAAGATTTCCCACTACTTAAATGCTCTAAGAAATGTGCAGACTGAAATGTGGCTGCCAGCAGCATGTCTTTTACTCAACCCTACCACCCGGCCTCTGGTGTTTCCTGCTCAACCACAGCTATTCTGACTTCTCCAACACCACAGGAAATGGATCATATATACCACTTACTGGATTTAACCCATCTTGCCCAAACCATAAATTATCATCAAAAAGACAAGAGAAATATATGTCAGAACTTTCCACCTCCCAGAGGGAAGCATTTTTTAGAAATTGGTGGCAACCTACTTTGCAAGAAGCAAACCCAAGAGCACATGCAAAAATTATGTGATGAAACTTTCATTTTTCCCAGTGACTGGAAATCCCATATTTTAATCACTAACATTTTACTGTTACACACAGCATTCAGCATAAAATCTTAAGTTTATTTAAAAAAAAAAATCCATGTGGCGTGGTACGTCCAAATCTGTGTGGTGCATCCTCCACACAAACTTACCAGTGAAGTGTGTGCTGCTCCCTTTGCCTGTTGCCAAATTGTGAATATTCATTCCATGGCTGGGACTCATGCTAGGACTACTGAATGACCGTGGGCTAACAGGGTAACTGTCCTGAGATTTTGGACTGTGGCCTCCCAAGCACCGCACTTCACTGTCTGTACCATTCACCATCTCTATGAACTGACGCACCCTAAACAAAAGGCAAAAAGTTAAGCTAATAAAACCATTTACACATTTCAAATAACCAACGATAGCAATGATTTTATTTTAGTGTTAAATACAGAACAAGTCTGACTCAACAAAATGCTGAATGTCAGTAACCCAATCGTCAATAAGCTCTGGAGCATTCCGCCAAAAATACACAACTACAAATTTGTGAGGGAGCTGAACAGGAATATTATCCTTGGAGGACAGCCTTTGTCACTAAGTCCTCAAAGTCTAGAGATTTAAACTATATTTTCTTGGTCTGTTTTCTTTTATTGGCAGGGGCAAGGTTATTTCTTGAGAAAGATATGTCATTATGTTGTCATGTCTGTCATTTTCTCAAGTAAATGAGAACAGAGTTTGACTGTCTGGAACATTAAGCATTAAAGGGTAACACCTCACATTAAACACCTGCTCTAGAAAATAGTTTGAAAAGCAAATTCCCATACAAACCTTCCTTTAGAGGCTGTTGCTCTTTGTGAATTCCATTTTAGATAAGGAGGTTTTACTATGGACTTTAAGGAAGCTCAGAACTCCTGCTTTATGCTTAAGGCTTCAGTAGCCTCAATAGAACAGGCAAAATTTAGACAGACTGAGGAAAAGATAACATAAAATTGATGCTATTGAGTGAAGTCTTTCATCAAAATGTTAGCATTTTGTGAATTCTGTGATAAGTCTGGAGTACTATCACGTGAATTCTGTTCAGCACTTGAGCATGACAGACTTCAAACACACTCCCAGTTATTTAACTGCACATAAAATAAAGTGCTTTGCTCTTAGAGGAGATAACGCATTTTTCCCACATTCAAACACTGCAATGTGATACAAAATTCTGGAGAACAGCGCAGCTGGCAAGTAAAAATGCCAGAATGAAGGTGTCTATTGTGTACCTGGGAAGCCAAGAGAACTCTTTAGGATTATGGAATTCCACAGTTTTAGCCAGAGTTTTCTAGTAAAGTGGCATGGAATGAAACAGCTCATTTAAGCTGGTCTTTAAAGTCAATCACTCCTTTGGAGGAACAGACTGACTTATGCCATCAGGATTCTTAACCTTCTTGGATGTGCTACTGTATCAGTTTCCATTTTAAGTTTTACTTAACACCCAAATGGGATTAAATTCATTAAAAAGAACTACAGAACTTAGTTCTGCAGAAAAGTCTACAGGGAGATGTGAATTATGCTGCAAACCAGGACCTCGATGACAAAACCTAGTTAAACATGTAGCAAATAAGAAGAGCATAAAAAAGTGAAATACACACATTTTCTAAAAAGCGCTGCTTAACTTTGTACAAATTTCTGTGAAAGCTTTAAATGAGTAACTGTCTTGTCTCAGAAGGTACTGTGCCATCTATAAACACACATCTGTATAATTTGAAGACTCACTTTAATGCAAATAAGAGATTAGGATTTCTTTCTAGTAAACTTGGATACAACTGTTGTGTTGTTTCAATGGCTTCTCCCATTCTTCCTGCTAAAACCAATTTCTGAATTCCTGTTCACCAAAAAACAAATAAGAGATTAGGATTTTTTTCTAGTAAACTTGGATACAGCTGTTATGTTGTTTCAATGGGTTCTCCATTCATCCTGCCAAAACCAATTTTTGAACTTCTGTTCAGCAAAACCAACATCAGTTAAATGGACAGCTTACGGATTAATACACGTACATAAATGATTAAAAGACACTGCAACCATCAATCAACAAGATTTTTTTCCTTTTAGAAAAAAATAGTGTAAAGAAAGATCATGTTTGCTTAAAATGTTCAACAGGAAAATTTAAGAACTGCACTCCACCTACATGTATCTAAATGAGAACTCAGTATTTTTATTTATTGCCAGCATCCAACTGCTTTGTAGTCAGACTATGCATTTAGAGCTAGAATAAGATTGCAGACACTCTTCTGCGATTTAGTTCTCATTTTCACAACTTTATAAATAAGCACATTTCAAATTACTGTCACTCAAGAACATCCAAATTGCATCGCACTCCTACAGGTTCAATTTTGACTAAGAAAAACAAAAATTCAGTCTCTTTCACCTACAACACATACTCCTAATCAAACTACAGTTCAGCAAAATCTTTCACAAAGGTTCCTGCTTTAGTTGATGCTTCTGTGGCCGTAACTTGGCTCAAGCTGCAAACAGCCTCCCAGCTCTCTTCACCAACAGAGAAACTGATCCAAATGAAAAAAACCCAACAAATGTGTTGTTTTACAACCAAAGCAGTTTCCCCATGTGGTATGTCATACAGTAACACAAATGCTGATGGTCATAGAGCAGGGATTTAAATGGAAGGGGAAGGCACTGTTCCATCAGGCTGCAAACAGCACTGGCATGGCAAGTTAGAACTGAACTGCTGTTTGTTGTCCTTGTCCTCTTCCCCTCACAGCTGTAAGCAGGAAAAGTTTCATTTAACTTATAAAACATTCTCTAAACTCAATCTCTTTTCACATTCAGATAAAAATATAAATGTCTGTCACGACTAAGTTTTATACTCCTGTTTGTGACTAACCATTAGCTCTCACAAACACTCAGAGACATTACACACAATTGTTTCAGACATATCACAACTTTCCATTCGAGAGAAAAGACAACAGATAATTTACCACATTCTGCTACATCAAACAAGTTACAAAGTATTACTGTGCAGCTTTTTCATACCCAGCTGCTCATACATGTGTAACATTAGATGACAGCAAAGAACTGTGCTATGGAGCAGTGCTGCAAGCCAATTTTACAATGCTGCTTAAGAAAAAGCTTTATGCAGTATCTGTTTAAGGGAGGAAAAAAGGGATGCAACGTGCTCTCCAGCCTTACTTTGTCTGTTCTTAATGGAAGCTAATTCTTCTAGCACAGTCTGGTCTGTGGATCTGGCGAATGCCTCTGCTGTTGCACAGTATCCATGGTGAACTAAGTAAGATGATACCATTCTAAAAATAAACAAAAACAAAACTTAGAAATACTCATTAAATACAGGTGAGAAACCAAGAACTCCTAAATGTAAAAACTCTTTGATAATATAAGCTGAATTGAAAAATTCAGCTTGAAATGCAGAGACTTCTGTACAAGTCAGACAAAAGTAATTCAATTAAGAGTCAGTATATTCTTCAAAACACTGTACAGAAAAATAATTTTTAAAAATAATAAAAGCATAACTTTATTATGATGAATTCTAGTAACAATTATTCATGACACAAAGGCAGGGTCAGTTCAAATATTAACTGCTAATTAAGCTGGTTTGGTTTTTTTTTCTCATTACTCCCACTGAAATTGCTGCACATTAAGTTTTTGTTTTCACTGAGAAAATAAAAAATGCAAAGTCAGAACCACCATTTTTTCAAGAAATACTAATGAGACACAACTTAACCTGGCATGCTGAAGGCTGAGAAAGCAAAGGGAAATCTCCAGAGCCCAGAGTATTAAAACTGCCCATTACAACCACAACAACTTTCCTACAAACTCCCCAGTCCGTATTAGATAAGACAAATTAGGACAAAAGTCCTAAACTCATCATTATAAAGTCCAAATTATTAATGACACAGACAACTCTGCCACAAAATCTGTTCACACTCCTTTTTACACTGTTATCAAACCTGGTAACAAACTTACTTGTACTATTTTTTAATAGCATCTATCACTTTTTGCACAAGACAATAGATAAAACATTTTAAAGAACTCTGAAATCATGCAACTAATGACTTTTAAAAAAACTATTAATATTAAAAGTCTTACTTCTGAATCATTGTTTGCCACTCTCCTTCCCGATCTCCTATTGGAAATCTGTCAATCTGTGCTTGAATTTTGGTTCTCCACTCTCGCATATAGTCTTCAATATCAAATACAAATGGGTGTTGTCCAAAATTAGCATCCACAACCTCTCCTGGTGTTTGAAGCCCTACTGTAGGGTACAAGTTTGGCTGCAAGAAACATTTTAGTTAGTTTTTGACCCTTGCCCTAAAATTCCCACTGCTGTGGGCTTGTTTTGTTTTGTTTTTTTTTTCACCTCTAGTAATAACCTTACTGTTTCTAGTAGGGTACTCCAGCAGTAAAAGCAGCTTCTGCCAATACAGCAATACAATGACTGACTAATTTATTCCCAGTACTCAATTTCTTTGTGTTTGGAAGAAGAAAATCTTACTGACATTCCAGCCAGAAAATACACTTTTTAAACTGTGCTACATGTTACAACTTTTGGGTTAAATTTCACAAAATATTATGTAACAATTTTTGATTATTTTAAAGACCAGTCCTTTTCCTTTAAAAAGAGAACTGAAATTAAGCTTACAAAGTGGGCCATTTTCTTTTTAGGGTGAAATACTTAAAACAACCCTGAATTTTAGTGGTAAGAACTGACAGGATAGAAAACTCAATAGCCTCAAAGTCCAACTGTAGTGCCTAACAAAATCTGTAACAATGCATTGACGATTTTGTGAATTCCTGGACTTGTATCTAGGAAAACACTTGAACAGCATTTATTGTCTCAGTTTTATTTTCTGCTGAAATTAGGTCTCCATGCAAATTTAAAATATGGCAAATATGAGAAAGGTAAAATCTGCCTTGGGATAAAGGTACTTTTCTTAAATATAATGAGCATCTCAGCAATGGCAAGGCAATCAATTGTTCACTGTGAATGGGGTTTTGTTACTGGGGTCTTGTGTGTATGCGTGTGGGAGGTAGTTTAAATTTTTTTGAAGTTTATGTAATAAATATACCTATATCATAATTACACTGCAGACAATGGTGGTATGGTATAATAGGGTGTTAATCTACAGAACTATTATGCTAAATAAATTAAAGTTATCAGTAAGAAGTTATCAACACACAGGTCAGTAGGAACTCTGGAGCCCAGAGAATCCAGTGAAATGAAAAATACTCTGGTTTCTCAAGCCACACCCAAGCCAATCTTGCCTCTATTTCCACAAATACACCCTTTGCTTTTTTAAATAAACATGCTCCTACTGTTACCTAGTCAAAAATAATCAACAAACCCCAAGTCTCAAATCTTTTAATGAGATGAAAACCATTGATTCTAAAAAGGGGTTCAGTTTCATACTTCAGATTATAGTGTCAGTTTTCCTGAGCTGGCACCATGTGCTAGCAACCTGAAGATCCAGAACAGTGGTAGTGGTTTCCTACACAAAGCACTCAACCCTGTGGTAGAACTAAGAGCCTCCTTGGGTTCCTGACTTCATTTTTCCTTAATATCTGTCCTTGCCTCTTAAGGCCCCACAAAGGGAGTAGGTGGCCAGGTGGACGTGCATCACACACTGCACCTTAAACAGATTAAATCAGAAATTAAGGGGATGAGAAGAAAACCAAAGTAATTGCAGTATCATGCCTGTATCAGTAGTATAGGGAACAGATGCCACTTTTAAGGAAAGCACAATTTAATTGACTCAAAAGCCACAAGACTTCAGGTATGTGCAGCTTTAAAAAAACTGATACATTTGATTCAATGAAGCAAAACTTGTGAAAATCAGGCATCAAGAATGAGTTAAAGTGACAATATCTCAAGCAGCCATCCACCATGTTGGTGTTTAATACAGCTCTGATTTTGTATGTAAGGCTTGAATATGCCAAAGCATGTAATAATTATTTGCATGTATTATTACTCTACTAAAAAAAAAACCTGAAAAGGAAAAAGCTCTTGTAAGGATCAGTGTAAAACCAAAACACTTTATCCTTCATTTAAAAAATCACCACTGAAATCATGATGAGAAATACCTAATATTACACTGGCTACTAAGATTATCATTGTGATTCCAACAAGCCCAGGGTAAATGCTAGTTTGAGCTGAAACATCTGTTTAAAGACACAAAGAAAAACTGTTTGAAAATGCACTTATCTTACCGGTAAATCTGTGAAAGCGATGCCTGTAATAAAGAGAAAACTAAAATTAATTTCCACGTGTCTGGATTCAAGCCTCATTTTCTTAAAGTATCATTATCTGTTCAGAAATCTCACTCAAACATCTCAGAAATAAGCAAAGTATGGTGAAACCCATGATGCTTATGCACAATTCATGTTTTTAAAATAATAAATGGCAGTATTTGTCAAAAAGTAATCATCAAAAATACTTAAATTGCCCTTAATTTTTTCAAAATAGATAATAAGACTTAGCAAATCATACAGATAGGCAGATTAGAAAGTCTGAAAGTTCTAGCTACATACTAAATTTAGAGAAGAAAGGTAAGGATATCTGAAAATACTTTTTCACTTGCATGTCATGATGCTGCAACATCAAGATTTAATGGTGTCTTTTCTTGCTTGCTATTACTTTTCTTCATACTCACTCACATTCTTTACACAAGCAGCACATATCTATAATACTCCAAACCAGCCTGCAAGTGTTTCACTCTAATCCATGCCCTCATGCTTTGGTTTTCAAACAGAACAGCTTAATATCGTCTTACATAATTACAAACATCCATCTACCCTTAAAACCAAGGGAGTGATTTTGCTGTCTCAGGATTAGAGAAAAATATGACCTCTATACACTTCAGGAACTTCAGGCAATTTCAGGGGGTGGGAAGCTTTCAGTTAAAAAAAACCACATCAGTAATCTCCTTCTGACAGCCAAATAATAACAGTATTTCAGAATTTCCTTTATTGTTGCAAGTATTTTTTTTAATGCTGAATTATTCAAATCCACTTATCCCTTCAAACTTCAATTTATTCTGTACCACCACCTTTTCAAATTTAAGATGAAAAAAAAGCTTTTAACCTTTTGTCCTAAATTCCGTCCCTGTTTTCAATCTCTACTGTTCACCAGGATTTCAAACCTCAAGAGCATCTGGATTCCTTACACACATCTTTTGAGACAGAAGGATGGCATACTGAGTGAATCTGTTTCCTTTGTTTCCTCCCATCATATCTCAAAGCTATCATTTTATTTATTCCCTGCTCTTACTTTATCTTCTTCTAAGCTATACCATTTTTTCTATTTGGCAATTTTGACATCCAGCTTGCTCTTTTCCAAAATGGAGGCTGTAGGCATGACAAATAAATGATGACTAAGTGATATGTAGGAGCTGGGGTCTTGGGGGTGGGGTGGGGGTTGGTTGGGGCTTCTTTTCAACCCAGGATTTCACACTTGCATGAGAACAGCTTTGCTCTTTCTGCAGCATCAAATCCCAGGCTGAGCCAGAGACATCCTATATTCTAGGCCAAATATGTGGGCCCAGAGAAGAAACATAAATGTCCTCCAAGTCACGAATGTACAGGAATTCTGGACAACTAGCAACTGCAACAACTCAGTGAGACAGACAAAATTTCTGATTTCTTTTTCCACTCAACACAGAATCAATTTTCTCATGTCAGAAGCTAAAGCTAGCAAAGTCCATGACAGCAGAACAACTGTCAGGTTTCCTTGTGAAATCCATAAAGTGTTTGTCAGACTCAGTCTCTGACAGATGACATTTTATTAGCCTCCCCTCACCTATGCCATTCTGGTCTCCTCTAAAAATGGATTTTAATCTTTTGCACTGTTGTTTCAGAGTTGCCCTAATCCAGTCTGCTTTACCACTGAAAAGGAGGTTTCTGCTCTTGCCTTCCCAGCTTACTCACACTTTCAGGTGACCATAAGGGTAGTGAGAACATTCATGTCTCTTTAATTGATCACATGATCCAACTTCTCTGCAGGCACATTGTGAATGTTTCAAAAAGGGAAAAAGGTAAGACTGCTTTTCTCAGCTTTACCCCAGTTAAAGATTAGGGCAAACACAAGCCCATTATCTTCCAGTTGGACCTATCCTGCAACAGGATGCCAAAAGAAACAACTACACAGTGCATGTTTCAAGTGTCCCACTGCCCTAGGTCTCAGGGTATATAGACTCATTCAATTTAGAAGGAAAATTAAATCATGAAAGAATATAATCACAGAATTGATTACATGGAACTGACCTCAGGAGGAGACTCCTAAGCCCTGCTGTGAGTAGAAGCAGGAAAACTCCCAAGTCAGATGTGTTTGCTCAAAGCCTGAGCAAACAAACTGTCAGTCTCATTCAGGGAGGCTAGAAAAGAATTTAAACCACATCCTTCCCCCTTTTTCCAAACCTACTTTGTGTTTGCCAATGTAAGAAAATAGAACAGCAACTTCAAGACCACCTATCTCAATAATCTCTTACTTCATTTCATGCTACCCTCTCCTTTCCTTATCACATTTCTACCCATCACAGAAATCTTATTCCTTGTGGTTTATCCCTTCAAAGCTCCTGCTCCTCTCAGCACAATTCCAAGATCTCTTCACAAGCCCCCACTCCCTTCTTAATGCAAGAAGGAATTTTTTTCTTCTTTCCTTACACTCTATATCTAGGCTCATTAAATTACATTAAGTAACTGAAATAGGTATTCCATAAAAATTTTTAACTCCACCCACTCCTGATATCTTCAAATTCAAAAATTATCTTGCAGTGTTGCCTAATACTACAATTTACTGTATGAATTTAATGGACTTAATTTTAGCTCAACTTTTATAATTTATGGCTTTAGCCCAACTATGAATGACTCCAGACTGGGAATCCAAAATACACTGCTCTCCAACATATGCTCAAAACAACATGCATCCAATGTAAGGTTTTAGTGAAGGCTAGGTGTTCCCCCTACACCAGCAAGGAATTTTAGCTATATCCATTTTCCTTATCTTCAGTTCTCTTATTATCTATTACTTTATGACAATCAAGCACTATTTGTGGATTGAGTAATAGAGTTCATTAATGCAAATCCTGTGGAAAGAGATGCTATAAGACCCAATCCTCCCAAATTCACAAGGAATGTTAGTGCTAATGGCACAGAAGAAATTATTTTTCCCAGTTCTTTAATTACTTCATAGACTATTAAACTATCAAAAGAACTATTCAAACCCTTGGTTCCTGATGTGAAGAGGGTTTCCTATTCACAACAGACCTAAAGATATAGTGCTGTCACAAAAGGCAGCGTTTCTGCATACCCAGGCTGTGTCCATTCTTGGTGTAGAAGCAGGTGTTGTTGATAAGGTTGACACAACAACCAATGACATCGCCCGTAGTGAACGTTGGGCCGTAAGGTTGTCCCGTTCCAGAGGAACAGAATGAATGGCCATCATCTCCATGGTAACCATACGAGTGTTTATCCCAACCTAGAGAACAAAAGCATTTGTAATTTATTCATTTTCTTCATTATTAAATAAATTGAAGACTGTGCTAAGTTGGTATATTCTGGCCAGGCTAACACAATTAATTACTATGCTCAGCCTTCTGCTTTCTAATATTTCTTATCTAGGAAAGCCACTGTGTAATCTTTAAAATGACAACTTCTTTTATCAAAATGGCTGAATAAGTAATTGCATTTGTAGTATATAACAGGTAATGCAAATTCAGATAACACATTTTTCTCTTTACTCCAACATACAGTATTACCAACCCCAAAAATATAATCAGCTACAATGCTGAAATTCAAAAAGCTATATACAGATCTGACATGTCCCAGTAAAGCAGTGAAGATTCTACTGTTCCCCTTTCATTTTGCAAAACTATTGCTACCATATGTCATAATCAGATTCTTCCTGGCTACAAACCAAACAGGCATCTCTGGGGAAACGATTTCTAGTCCTGATTATTCTCAATGACTATTCAGCAGCAAGCAGCCTCTGCATAATAACAGAATCTCCAGACTAAAGTGTAACTAGCTATGCTGCCCCTGAAAATAAAAATAAATTTTAAATAAAAGGAAAAAATTAGCAATACAGGCAAAAATCACAGCCAAGAGCTAGTCATTATGCATGCAAATATGGCGCTGATTTTGCAGGTGAAGAAGCTGTAGAATCTTTAAGGAGCTTCACACTGTTACACTACTCAATGAAATTCACAATAAGCAATCTTGGTTTGTGCTCTTCTATAAATACCTATCTACACTCTCTGCAAGTCAATACTGAACCTCTTCTGTCAAGCTGCTGCCTTGCAGGTTAATTTGGAAGTATTTTACACACTTAGACCCTTAATCTTTATCATCAGTAGCTTCAGCTGGTACCATATTAAGCATCTCTCAGTAAATTAAAGACAACCCCAAATTACTGGAGTTGCATTCATTAGTAGTACCTTTGATAATTATAGCATCCTAAATCAAACCTAATGCCACCCACTAATAATTCATGAGCCTTAGGTGGGCTCGCAGTGTAATGGGGACTTGCAGTCATCATATGGATCTCTACCAGAGCATTTGGTAAGAAAGTTAAAACTCAAAAGTAATGAAATGCAGATACTCAAAGGTAAATTCAACATGGTTTTGTATTTTGGTAATTTCAAGTCGGTTGGTTTTGGGTGGATATTTTTTTACACGTTTAAAGATCTGTTAAAAACCCAGTTTTTTATGTACACATATACAAATTCAGAGATACTACAGACAATTGTTAACTAGACAGTGTCCTTGACCATGCAAGTTAATGGAACAGTCAAAATTTAAAACTAGGCTACACACTCTTACTATGAAGGCTGGAAAGGTAAAGGTACAGAAAGTGAGAAAAGAAGAGTTCCCTCCATGTTAGACAGAGAGGTTTTATCACAGTAGATCATTTTTATTGCTAGAAATCCAGCATACAGAACATGGAAATCTATAGCTTCATTTTTTATCAGGACACAATGAAAATTTTATACTATATTTGTTTGCTAAAAAATATCTTCATAATGTTAAAAATAACAGTAAGAGCTGACAGAAGTAGTAGAGGAGTAAATGTACAGTAAAAGTTAAACTTTTCAGCTGCAAGTGTTACATAACTCCAGTAACAGATACAACACAGAGGTGTCATGCTACACTCTCTTGCTTACCAAAGCTGAAGCATATTTTAAAAACCAGTGTAAGCAACTGAAACATACCTGGTAGTCTGTTCATGTTCACACCCTGTGCCGAAAGCCCAATTCCCATGTAACTAAAAATGAAAGAACAAAAGAAATGCATCTGTCTCTTACAAAAATACATATGTATGTGGAACATTGCCAAGAAACACTATGCTGACTAACCATGTACCAATTAAGCTACTGAGAGGTCATTTAATAGTGGCAGAAGAGCACGGGATTCCCAGCATATATGGTTTAATATGGACAGATCCTGTCTCCACAGGAGGTAAGGACAACTTCTTTTCTTTCTGGCATCCTGGGCTAAAATGATGTTCCATTTATGCTAACATTTTATTAGCTAAAATGTTTAAGGCATGAACAAAGGAAGCCAAAGGTCATATCTTATTTTGAAAGTAGGGGTACAGCCATACACATACCAATGTCATCATTTTCAACATACCTAATGATGTTTTGCAGACAAACAGGAAGGAGTAATTTTATAAAATACATGCAACACTGCTTTACTTCAGCAGCAAAATGCAATCTTGCACAGCACTTATGAAAAGATCACACTGAAACATTAAAGGCCTGGATTGTACAGTAGAATGTTAATTTGAGAAATTTACCATCAATGGCACTCAGCTGCTTGTAATCTGATGGCAGACTAAAGAGGGGAAAATATTTGTACTACACTAACCAGTTATCTGAAATAAAGTCCAAAAGCCAGCTTTACAAAAAGGTGGTTTTCATAAAGTCAGTGTCCAGGACAGTTGTTAACAATTCAATAGCAAATATTACAAAGCTGAAATGAAGAATTTCCTCATCCCTAAATAGCACTATTAGAAGTCAGCAAAATCAATTTTGCTTGTTTCTTAAGAAAAACTAATGCCATTACCAAGACAACAGGAATACAAAAAGAGAAACAGCAAAAAGAAAATCTAGGCTTTCACCATTGTCCCTTGCCCAAAATAAAGCAACCCCCCTCCAACAACTAAAGCAAGCATTCAAAAATCACCTAAACCTACATTTACTTGTTATCAAATCATTCAAGGTATTTTGACACTAGTTAACATCAGTTACCAAGAATTTGCTATGAAATAATAAACTGTATGAGAACAAAATATTCACCTGTGGCAATCTGGAAAGTTTAAGTCAACAGACATCACCTTTGTATTCCCATCTCATAAAACAAATTTTTAAGCAACTATTCCACTTGGAAGTGCAAGTTAATCTGCTATTTAAAATGCTTTTGCCACAGAATGGAACTAAGCAGAACATCTCAGAAGTGACATGCTTAATTGTGTATGGGGGTTTCTGCTCTTTCTATGACCACTTCTAACAGTTACCTTACCCAATTCTATGTTTGATCCCTAAAAAGCCCTCCTCTGATAATTTCTCATGTATAATAATACTGTCTTCCTCTCCTTCAAACATACCAGCACGAAATGGAACCTCGGAACCATATATAGCAGATATTACATTTAAAAATACTGAAGAGCTGAAGCAAAGGGCAACAAACAAAAGGATTAGTCTTTGCTGCACTGCTGGATACACTACTGAGGCACCACTGCAGCAGCAGATTCAACAAAACAATTATAAATGAAAGCAACAAGTGGAAACCCCTTGATTTTGTCTTTAATAATAAAGGCAGAGTTGTTATTAGCATAGTCTGAGGTCTGACACATGAAGGATACTCATGTGAAGAGTGAAAATCTCTTATTCATTAAAGAAAGGATGTTTACTTTTAAAAACAATTTTAGATAACTTTAACTCCACTGATTGCAAAAAACCTTTGAATGTGAGTCCGATTAAAAACGCAATCAAGGTTCTGTTTCAGTATTTTTATAATAACAAGACTACAGTTACACAATAATGCAAAATATTACATAGAAGATCATGGTCAAGGCAATATTTTGGTAACATCACTCTTTTCTTCCTCAGATATCCTAACTTCCAACCTTCCTCAGCAACACCTGTAAACACAGTTAAACTGTATTTAAATACAGCTGGGAACAAGGAATCTTTACCCACTGGTAGTGACTGGAAAGCACTAGGCACTAACACCATCTCAGGAAGAAGATGGATGTTAACAGTATGCATTTTTCCCTGGGATGTACTTACAACTACTCGAAATGTTAACACCATTTTGTGAAGGAGACTTGCTATTAATAGAAAATGAAGTTAGATGAAAACATTGCAACTAATAAATTTACTACAGACATCTTTCACAAGGCAAAAGGAATGTCTACAACTTATGGTCTGAAGTGAGAGAAATTAAAGGCTCATCAGTTAAGTTAATTATTATTTATTAGAGTTGATAGACAGCTAATTTCATGTTCAACTAGGTTAGTACACTATAAATTATGGGGGAAAATGGTACCATGATAGACAGGCTTTAAATGCTCTAAAACTTATTTAAAAGAATTGTATCTATCCCAAATCACTACGTGTAACTCTCTCACCTTTTCCCCACACCTGTAATCTTCAGACTGGAATCGACTTTTTTGGGTTTTTTTTAAGACGCTTAACCCTTGTTTAGGTCAAGAGTCAGGGTTTGCAAAGACTTGCTTCAGTGGGAGGAAGTACACAGATTGTTCTCCCATTTGCTGCTTAAAGCTCCCATTTCATGCATGTCAGGATCGGAAGAAGAGTGGCAGAACTATGTATTTAAGTTTTCCTCCCTTAGCCTATGACAAAAATGATGGGCAGCACAACAAGCAGCCCAGGTGCACTGCAGGCCCAGAATGTTCCACGTCTGCTCATGATGCTGTCCTGCCACATGAAGAGGTTTGGTCTAGGAGACCCAAGTGACCTGTCCTTCCTGTCTGCAGCTCTGTTGGCCGTAAGAGCTGTCCTTGGCAAGGGGGGGGGTGTCAGCACCATGAAGCAGCACGCTCAGTCCATCCTGCAGCACCTTCCAAACATGGACACAGCTCTGTGGCCTCAGAGACCAGAGAGGGTGAGCAGGGCTGTGGTTCTGATGCTGCCTTCCTCAGTACCTGAGGCCTGTCCCTCCACCTCAGCTCCCTACCCAGACACGTCCCTGGCTGTGGCACTGGGAGGATCATTTACCCAGGCAAATGGCACAAAGTGGCCCGGTGCCTGTTTTATTAAGCAGCCCCTCTTTTGAGCAATTTCAGTCCCACCGGCTGCTACTCATCATCTCATTAACATGCTCAACTCTTACAGGACCTCATAAAATAACAAACAACCATTCATGGAAGACATGAAATCAACCCATGAGAGTCTGAAATTAGAGAATACAGCTGGAAAGCAATTTAAAGTACAGCCTTAAATTGGTATTAAGGACCAAGAAAGCAAGTGTATTTTACAAAGACTTGGGGTTTTTTTTTTCACTTCAAATTGTATTTAGTTCCAGTCCAGATCAATTAAGATATAGGTTACCATTTTAGCATCTCAGCACATTTTCTAGTTTACATTTCAGAAGTCATATAGAAACTTTAGGAACACCAGAAAACTACAGAATTTAAAATTCGCTGAAGATTCTTTTTTTTTTTTTTACCACAAAGCAAAAGAGAAAATGTCAAAAAAAAGAGGCATTATGATACCTACTTGTTTCCTATAACACATACTGAAAAGCCTAGGCTTCTCTGCAGAGAAATGTTTAAGAAGCAGAAAGCTCACAATAACTATTTTCTCCTCAAGTATCTTTCTAGTCAAAGAACTAAATTTACATTTTTGCTGGAGCCTTAAGTTTCTACTTGGATGCCTGAATAGACTAATTGTGAGAAATTAAAACAGCCAGAGCCAAACAGAAGGAACAAACAGCAGTAAGAGAGGGTACAGAACTGCAGATGCTAAAAGATCAAGAAATTAACAAAACCCAGAAAGAAACACAACTCTGATTTTTATTTATAACTATTCCATTCAATCTTGTAGCCACTATGTTGAAGGTATATGGAAGATCTTTCAATATGAAAGCTGATAAGAATCAGAACTCAGATTAATTATATCCTATCCTGCTCACTCCATAAAGAGGAATCTCAAAAACTATACCAAACCACAGACAACTCAGAAAGGCTGAAGATAAATTCAAGTACTAAACAATCATTTCTCTCATAAAAAAAAAAAACAACACCAAAAATTCCATGCTGTATTTATAAAGCCAACTCACATAATAGTATGTGACAGACTTCCTACTACAGAAATGTCACCTGCTATCTCTGCCAAGAGTCAAATTTCTTCTGACTTCCATTGTGCCTACATATGCTGCTGAAGACATTATAACCTGGGGAACTGCTACATGCTGCTTCAAAAACCAACTCTTTTGTTGTTGCAAAAAGTAACTAACCAAGGTGGTGCCTTATTCCCTACATGTTATCCATTTAAAGGAAGCAACTTCAACCATACAGCATTAAAACTTAAGTTACCATATTATCTGTAGGGAACCTAAGACAAAGCACTAACAGATGTTCAAAGCCATAAATAAAGCAACTGAAAACACCCTAATGTTTTGAATGCATTGATTATTAAGAAAAGTAGAAGTAACACTGAAAAAAATATAAGCTATATACCAAGTATAGTTTGCTTTATTATTATGTTAGCAGCTTGGAAAGAGGACAAGAAGAAAAAAGAATGCATCATCTTTAGGACTTTAAAGACTCAATGAACTTCTATAGGGCCCTCACAACTGACTTGCAAGGACATAAAAAGTTTGAATAATGTCCTCCTATAGTTTTCTACACTGCTTTCGCCGACACTATGAGGCCAGAAATAAGCCACATTAAAAAGGTACCTACATTTATCTTTAATGTAGTTACTCTGCTTTAAAATTTTGCAGAAATGTGCAAATTCAAGATTCTTGTTGTCTGCACAATCACAATAAGAAATGAGATGTTAATCAATTTAAATGTTTCAAAATATGCCATAGACAGTTTGAGTCTTTAATTTCAAACTGAAAACAAGTTTAATTTTACAGAGTATTTCCAAGGAAACAGTATTTTGAACATGATAAACTCAGGTTTCAGATCCATGCAGTTCTGCATAGAGAGGCAAAACCAAAAATACATCAGGCAGTCATTTTGCATAGTGCTGGAAACTGTTACTCCTGTAACACTTTGCTTGTGATTGC